CCCCCTCCAAAATGGAAAAAATATAACCATGTTTTATGGGAAAAAAAATTTAAAAAATACCTCTTAAAGTATTATTGTTCGTGTGATTACATTTAAAAGTACTTAAGGAATAACTTAAACACCATTTCATATAGGTAGTTAGTTTCTTTCTGTTTTTCCATAGTAATTATCGTTATTTTTATGAAAAAAAAAAGGTTTCGGGCTGAAGCCCCCCTTCCAAAATTAAATCCTGGATCCGCTAGTGAAAACAATCATTTTTGGGTTCAAACATACCATGGTACTAGATAATTACGAAATAACGATCTTTGATCAACGATATAAAGTTTCTTAAGCTAATGATTACACTAACTTATTAAATTTATCTAACTGATAGATATATTTTTATTTTCAAATAAAAAATCTTAAATATATTCAACAAAACAGGTAAATATTTAGATATGAAAAAATATGTATTGTTTAGGCAAGAAAACTTGAAGAAGAGGAGGCAATGTATAATGTATTGTTTCAACATTTTTATCTACTATTATTCACTAGCGGATCCAGGATGTAATTTTTTGTGGGGGGGGGGCTTCAAACCTAAAGCTATTTTTTTTTCATAAAAATAAAGATAATTACTCTGGAAAAAAAGAAAGAAACTAACTACCTATATGAAATGGTGTTTAAGTGATTCGTAAAGTCCTTTTAAACGTAATTACACGAACAATAACACTTTAAGAGACAGTTTTTAATATTTTTTTCCATAAAACATGGTTATATTTTACCATTTGGAGGGGATCTTCAGCCCCAATTCTCTCTCCCCTCCCATAGATCTGCCCATGCTACTATTATCGTATTTATTATTGTGTAATTAGTTGAATAGTTAGCTGATAATTATGAAGATATTGTTGATCTATGGTAGGAATGCCCATCGCCCCCAAAAGTCTATGGCGCTTGATCCTCTCCTTTCCCCTCTCCAAGATGTTATATTGCTCTCCTCTTCTTAAAAACCTTAGAAATAAAATTGCAGTGGGTCATATACCATCAAACTTGCTGAGGTTTGTTCTGTATATTACCTTTGTTTCCTGATTTGAAACTTTTCAATCAGAAATTTCAAAACCCCATCAAAATGCACTCCCATCAAAAATTCAAAATCCCGTTAAAATGTGCCCTCCTCAAAAATTTAGATGGCGTAATCTGCGCCATGAAACTCCCTTCTGGACACTCTTGATCTGTGATCAATTTCACTACTGAAACGTAACGTCGTCCTTTATAATCAGGCCAGGTGGACAAGTCCGAGGGAGCCCAAAATCGACGACGACGTCGTCCAGATTTATCTCTCCTTCAATCCGATCGAATCCTCTGACGCCATACAAAAATTACAGAAAGATATAGACGGAATTTGTGCCTGGGCAAACCATAATAGAATCACTCTAAACTCCGAGAAAACGAAAGCCATCCTGATCGGAACTCCCTCACTTCTCAAATCCATACCGACTCTCTTTTCCTGAACAACTCACCTATCTCATTCCATACTTTCGTAAAAAACCTTGGTGTTACTTTTGATCAATCTCTCTCCTGGAAAATACACATCTCTCAAATTTCCCATCCTCCTCCTCTGGAAACTCCTGGTTTCCTCCCTTGTGTTCCCCCACTTCGACTGTGGCTGTCTGGTGTACGGCGGACTCTCGGGAGACTTCGAGGTCAAGCTTAAACGCCTGATGAACTGCACAATAAATTTTGTTTTCAGAATTTCAAGAGATACTCATGTAACCCTGTAGTTTTTGGCCAGATTTGTACTTTACTTTGTATTAACTCATCATTGTTATTCTAAAGGGACTTAGTCCCAGAATAAAGTTTAATTTTCTATTCTATTCTATTACACCAAGTTGAAGTGGCTCTATCCATCCAACCGCCGTCTGTACTTCCTTGCTACCTTTCTATACCAAGCCATCAGAACTCAGCGGCCTTCCTATATTTTTCACAGCTTACAATTTAAATATTCCATTCAATCCCGTCCCACTAGATCCCGTATTTCTGACCTCTATCCACCTCCTCACCGAACTGCCTTTATAATTCAAGCCGTCTCCATCTGGAATACCATCCCTCCCGATATTCGACATGCACAATCAGTTTCCTCCTTTAAATCTCTCCTTTTTAACCACCTACTTCTTTACCAACCCGATTGATCATGAAAACTAGATAAGAGAATTTTTTAGTTCCCACAGAAATGGTTTTGTTTAATTATGTTATTATATTTTCACATGATATTATTGTATATATTTAATTTAATTTTATGGCCACACAGGCATTTCCTCTGTATCTATAATTTGTCATAAAGGGACAAAAATCCCAGGATAATAAAAATCTATTTTCATTTCATTTCAAAAATCGTTGTTTCTTCTAGTAACGCAAAATAATTGTTTTATATTCGTTTATTTCTGCTTATTTTTGTGGGCCTCCATTCATTCTATGGCGTTAAGAAAGTACAAAACATTTATATGGGCTCAAATCGGAGGGCCATAAAAATATGCGAAAATAAATTAATACAAAACAATTATTTTGGGCTACCAGAAATATATGAAACAATGATTTTGGCCCCCCTCCAGGCACTAGCGGATTCAGGATTTAATTTTTTTTGGGGAAGGGGGGCTTTAGCCCAAAATTTTTTTTCATATACATATAACGATAATTAATTTGAAAAAAAAGAAAGAAATTAACTACCTATATGAAATGGTCTTTAAGTGGTTCTTGAAGTCCTATTAAATGTAATTAAACGAATAAGAATACTTTAAGAGATAGTTTTTAATATTTTTTTCTGTAAAACATGGATAATCGCCGACTTACCGACTTGGCCTGATTATAAAGAACAAGGTTAGGTTTCAGTGGTAAATTTGACCATAGATCGACAATATCTTCATAATTATCAGCTGGCTACCTATTCAACTTATTAGAAATAATAAATACGATAACAGTAGTAGATAAAAGCCTACCTGACACGGTCAATATCGAATATAATGACAGTCTGAGGGATATATTGTAACAATTACATTGACATTTGTTATATATATACAACGTTCAAGAATATTGATTCAATAATATTGATCATGTAAGGGGGGCTAAAAATGTTGAAACAATATATTATACATTGCCTCCTTCACCCGTCTTCAAGTTTTTTGCCGTAAACAATACATATTTTTCCATATCTAATTAATTATCTGCCTGCTTTGTTAAATAAATTCAATTAAAACTGTTATTTATTTGAAAATCAAAATATATTTTTCAGATAGGCAAGTCTAATCATTAGCTTGCGGAATTTCATAAAGATAATGTATCAATAAAAATAACAATTTTTATCTTGTTTTTGTTTAGAATAAAATTAAATGTGTATCATTATATTTTATACGTTTTAGTCGACGGGTGGAAGAAGAGATAGAATCTAGTTGCATAATAAATGTAATCAGAAATGTTTTTCTCGTTATTTCGGCGGAATTATCATTTCCTTATTATGAGAAGAGATTCATCATATAAAATAGAACAAAGAACTAGTTTTCCTATTGTTCAATATTCATATTTTCTAAAAACCGGGACTTCGTAGCTCTGGCGAATTTACGGGGGAGGGGTTTTCGGGTTGATCCCCTTCAAATACAATATTTGTTTGTTTTTCCATAGCTCCATGTTTGTTACTGTGACTTATCTAAGCAAGATATTTAAACTATTTACAATATGTTATATTTTTTAAATTATATTACATGTACAGCTAGTATTCGAATTTAAGAAAAAAATATCTGGTGTGTCCACTCACACGACTTTCCTACCAATTTCAGAAAAGTTTTTATATATTTACATATGTTCATGAAGAAACAAAAAAGAATTGAACTAGATACATTTTCCTGAAAATTGATCAAACATAAGATTTGAGTACGATTTATTTGATAAATTAAAGCAATACAAACCGGCTTAAGGTAGATCAGTGTAAAAATTTCAACACTTCCTAATATTGCTGATCAAAAACTTTTTGCCATAGCTTAGTATTGTCAAAGAATAATTTCTGTTAAAAGTAGAGGAAATAGTGAAGATTGTGTGGTGCGGGTAACAGATTTTTTACATTCACTTAGTCATCTTTATTCTCTCATTCACCCCTTTCTGACACCAGGATATGAAACCGTAATCTTACATTGGAAATTGAATAGCTGTAACTTCATTAATAGTTGTCCAAAATGAGCGATTTTTATATGGCTTTGTAGGGAATTTCATTACCTTTCAAAAGTTTAATAATAAATTTTACCGTATAATATATACTTAGGGAGTTAGGGCCCATAACGTTTTTCTTTTCTTTATAACTTTTTTTTCCTGAATTTTTTCGGGAATTTAGTCTATATTCGACAATTGAAAGAACAATGATTAGAACATTATAGGAAAGTTTCATCAAAATCGTTAGTATATATATATATATATATATAGTGGTTTCCTTGGATTTAAATGTGTAACAAATCTTTCCAAATAAACAAAACAATTATTTTTGGTGCAAAACATACAACGGTACTAAATAAATATCGATCTTCAAGACCCTCAAAGGGGGTGATAAAAAAAGTACATAACATTTATGTTGGTGGCCATTTTGATGGGGTTATGAATTTTCAAAATGAAAAGTTTCAAATTAGAAGACAAGTGTAGTTGTATATAACCTATGAATATTTAAATTCTACTTTCGTTTGTACAGTTTTTAAGAATAAGAGAGGAATAAAATATCTTGGGAGGGGTGAGGGAAGGTCTTTGTGCCATTGGTCTTGGGGGGAGGGGATGGGCACCTATGATCACAATATAATATTATTTATCAGTAAAACATTAATTCTTTTGTAAATGCTTGAGTAGAAATTAATGACCTTTTTTTTTAAGAAAGTCATAATACATAATTGATAATTTTTTTCTTTTATTTTTTATTTATGATAGTGTAGTTCACTGACCACTATATATACATTCTATCATTTTTAAAAAAATTGTTTAATCTTTTTATTTGGATAACAATTTTATTATTTGTTTATCACAGAGAAAATAAAATCATTGAGCATTTAATATGAATGCACTGAGAATTCATGATAAAATAGTTTTTTACATAATGCATTATCATGTTAGAACCTATTGCTACATCAGTGTCCAGTCAGACTGAGTCAGGGTCAACACATATAAGATGAAGACTCTTATATACACAATTTTTGGACTATTTTCTTCATTTGGTTCCTCTGAATTTATTTATACTACAGATCTTCCACCTGTAGATGATGTTGCAAGAATGGCAAGATATATTGTTCACACAGCTGGTATTATTTAATTATAAGTTCAATATTTTAGAATTGTAATCAAGTTATTTAAATATAAAAAGTTTCATTAAACTACAATATAACATTTTTTTTTTTTAGATTGGTGTGTTCTTTCACACATAACTCATCAGAGAAATGCTACTGGTTATCCTATGGGGCGAGTGTTCTCGATGAGTGATGGTCCTGTAGGCAAGAGTTCAGGAACACCATACATTTATACATCATTTTTTGATGCTGTTCCAAGAGATTTGAAAGTAAGTATCTTATAAATTTATTTTATTTAATTTCTTTAAAATTTTGATTGTCACAAACATCTGACAATAAGTATATTACAAGAAGACTGATTACAATTATAATGAGAACGTAAGAAGTTCAAAAATGATTGAAATAATATCAGTTTTATAAACCCAGAACAATTGTTTGGTTTATAATGAAAGTGGTAAGTTGTTATTTATAATACATATAAGATTAAAATATCAAATTATCTTTTGTTTTTCTATCTGCGGATCAACATGAAGCTGAGTTTCATATTTCATTTAGTAAAAGTTATTTCCTAGATTTTAAATTTAATTATTATTTGAAATATTGTTTTATTTAATATCAAAAACGTTTTGAGTTATAACACATAATTACAAATATAAACTCTTGATAATTATATTAAAATTGTATTATACATTTAAATTTAATTTAAATTATTTTATTTAACTACAGTTCTATAGTTGGCTTTTGTTGAATTAAGAAAATTATTTTTTCTGAATGTTGGGGATTTAATAGTCCTCACTCAAACAGATCTTATTAGTTAAATAAAAATTTTAAGTCCATATTAACAGTACATCTTAAGTTTATTTATATACTTCGCAAGTTCATGGATTGTTTAAATCATAGTTTAACATTTTTTTCTATGAATTATAGTTTGCTTTTATCATTTCTATGAATAAAAATAAGGTTATCAAATCAGGTCAACCAGCACAGTTTCTTGTTCACAAATACAAATCTTGTTTTTTTGTATATTAAGAAATCCAAACATGAAAATCAAACTTTCCAACAAAAGTAATTCCTCTATTTTTGAGTTTTTTCTTACTTATCTCTTTTGTTTTTAATGTATTTCTTTAAAAATTAAATGTTTCTTAAATGTAGGAAACAAATTAAGATAAGTTTATATAAACCTATTATATGGGGCGCTTGATGACTGAAAGATCATGCTTTAAGGATATAGTGCTCATACCACTGTAAATGCCTGCTAACAGAAACACAAACATTGAAAGTTTATAGGAATATGTGGCACATTTTGTATTAGTCTGTTATTGTTCACATTTTTGGGTTAGTTTATCAAGCATACTGTCAGTCTAGTATTGTTTAACTTCTTTCAGTTTGGTCTTATATTTTCTCAAAAATTTAATTAAAATTATAAATCAATGTAATGCCCATCAGACACTGCATTATTAGATAATCTTCATATTAATATATTCTTCAGTTGATAATAATATTTTGCTAGTTTTTAAAGAAAATGGAAGCTCAAGTTTAAGATAATCAATAATAGACTGGCAATAAGTGTAAATGATTCTAAACTAATTGAAAATTAAACAAAAGAGACTAACAAACAATATTAAAAAAAACCTGTTTGATAAAAATTTAAACTGAAATGGACCAACAGAAAGCATAAGGACTAATAAAAAATTGCTCAAAAACTATTCAAGATAATTACATTCTAAGCACACCATTATAAAATAGAAAAAATGTTGTTTAAGAAAATTTCAGAGCCCATCAAAGAACAGCATATCTCTGTATTCCTGTACGAATCATCAAGCAACAGTACAGCGGCCGTATTAGACTCTCTGAAAGTCCTTTTATCATTGACTTTAGTAAATTAAATTATTGTTGTTGGATAAAATCATGTCTACTTTACGATGGTGTGTTTATGATTAAATTATCTTGAATAGTTTTTTAACCAATTTTTCCTTATTTATTAAAAAAACGTGACCATCTTAAGGAAGACACAAAATTGATCTTAATTCCGTTTCCGTTCAGAATTTGCAAATGCATCAAATGAACTTTTTTGTTGGGCTTTTGGTCTAAAATCATCCCCAACTCTCCCCGTCCCGCCATTGCTTTTATTTCTTTCAGAACATGTTTTTACTATACTTCTTTATGCTAAATAAGTAATATGCCCTTAAAGTCATTGGACACCGTAAATCATCATTTATATTATGTGCAATGTTAAAAAATTGCAATATTGTAATATTGTAGTAATATAAAACTATTATTATTACTTCTTCACTAAAATAATTATTTGTTTTGAATTACAAAAGTAATTTTAAATTGTTAGTTATGAAAAAATATATTACCCAATAAATAAGTCATTACCAAAAAAAAAATCATTGATCTGATACTGTGATTGATATTTGGAATTTGGAAGACAAACTCGTGTTATTTAACTCAAGTGAAACAAGTTATAAATAAATATTTTTCTTCCGTATTGTATGTGGTAGGTAATATTTCTGTAAGAAATTATTCACAAACAGAAAATAATGATTAAATGGGGCATAGTATGTTTGAAAATATGTGATTCCATTATTTTTTTTAAATGTATTGAAATAATTACATTCATTAAAACATATACAGTGTCTTTTATAAATTATTTTTATTAATTCTTTTTGTTTGTTGTAAATTTGAAAGATAGATCCAAAGTGTGCGATTACAGTGAGTCTGGTCCAAACTGACTATTGCAAAAACCATGATTTAGATCCCGAAAATCCACTGTGTGCCCAGGTGATGCTGGTTGGAGAATATGAATTTGTAAGTTTAATTAATTATACACCATATTATTTTTATGCTTTAAATTATAATATTGGTATTCACGTAACCTATGATAAATATTTAACTAAGCTGAAGTGTTGTTAGCTATAGAAAGTTAAATCCAAACCTCTACTTGTGTCAACTTGTTGATTTTATAGACTTTTTTATTTGAACATTGTTTAACCCTTTGACTGCGGGAGCTCATATGCATGTTTCTATCAGATGCTGCATCCTGAAATCCAAAAAGATGTCCAGAAAACGTTTTTTTTTTTTTTGTTTCTTTTTGCATAAATTTGTTTAAAATGCTATTTTGATTCACCCTGCAAGATTTAAGCTTTCAAAAATACATTTTAACCTTTTCATTCAACTTTTAATAAACAGGAGATATGCTTTCCCGCCTGCACATAGCAATGCAAAATTAGAGTGGCAATCCTGCAACACTTCGCTTTCTTGCATATTTGCTCCTTTCTGAATAGCAAAATAACTGAAAATTATCATAAAAAATAACTGTAAGTGATCATAAAAATTAAATTATATTATTTCTAAAAAAAGGACACAAGGAATACACTTTTTTATTATTAATAATATAGTGAAGTTATACCCCACTAGATTAAAATACATATAATAAAGATTTTGATTAAATAACAAATTTTTATTGGTTGATTTTATTTTAGATTAAGAATAACACTGAGGAATGGGATTTCGCGAAGGAGGCGCTATTTACAAGACATCCTGAAATGAAGGACTGGCCTGTTGGTAAGTGGTTGCAGTCGAGGATCGTTTTATCATATTTTTTACAGACTGCAAATACTGATTATTTTTCATGCACATAATTTAAAAAAAAGTTAACAAATATATTAATTATTTAAAAAATAAAATAACATTTGTTGTGTTAAATAGTTTCAACTGAAAGATATAGGTTGGGAAGAGTATTTTAAAAAACAACTTTTTTTTTCTGTTGGCATTATAGATCTTGTGGATCTTTTGCCGCCTTAACAAGCTTACTTCATCGCTGCCTATCTTGGGCTATTTCTTTTTAGTTATCTGCAAGCAGCTCTATTGCATCTTTGTTGATTCTATCCACCCATCTTTTTTTTTGGCCTTCCACGTGGTCTATTGCCTTCTATTGAGGCATTCATTGTTGTGTAGAGACTTCCAGATGGATTCCTCTGAGCTACATGCCATGCCCATATTAACCTCCATCTCTTCATATGAGATATTGATTGACTAGTTTCTGTAAACAGCTCTTTATTGGTCTTTCTTCTCTATTTGTTAGTATTCCGATCCCGGATCACGCTGGTTATGCAGGGAATTTTCTCTCAAATCGTTCAATATTTTCTTCTAGGGTACTGGTTAGTGTCCAGGCCTCACAGCCATATATTACAACTGACTTTATCATAGCATCATAAAGTCATTTGAGATTTTTCAAGATTTCAATATTTTTAAAAGGAAGATGAAAGGTGTTTGAGCTTGTTTATGCACTGGTCTATTTCCGACCCTTGGTCATTCATTGAAGTTATTGAGGAGCCGAGATATTTGAATCATTCTACTCTTGAGAACAATTTCCATTCTATGCAGATCCTGTTATTGGGGTGGAATTTTCGGCTTATTATCGTATATCTTCATTTACTTGTAGGCCAATTTTCTCTTCTTCTCCTTATCAGTCTTAGCAAGTTTCTTAATGATCTCTTGATTACTTCCAAAGACAGCTGCATCATCTTTTTTTTAGAATAGAATAGAATAGAAAATTAAACTTTATTCTGGGACTAAGTCCCTTTAGAATAACAATGATGAGTTAATACAAAGTAAAGTACAAATCTGGCCAAAAACTAACTTCTAAAAATTTTAATACTATATACATTATTTAAAAAGTATTTAACCAGTAAAACATAAAAAATAAAATATATATATACAAATGAACATAAAATCTTCTCAAAATTACTTAATTGTGATGAAAAAAAAAAAAAAAGAAGAGAAATTACATATTTATATATACATAACACAATTTATAAACAATAGGCTATCTAATTGAAAACTAACTTAATACAAAATGAAATAATATCTACAGTGGTTTATATAATAATATGCAGACACTAAGATAAAATAAAGTCTTACGATACTTGTGGTGTAACGAAAAAAAAAATAACTAAAAGGAACTATTTATACGTACATTCTCATATTGGCACACATAAAGACAAAGATATAATTCTTACATCAATGACCTTCCTAGTTCAATCCACCATTGTTCATACCATCTATATGCTGATGACTCCCAAATTTATCTTTCCTTTCCGTCCACTGAGTTATTAGACGCGTTTATGAATATTCAGAAAGACCTAGATAGGATCAGTGCCTGGGCAAGCTTAAATAATTTAAACTTAAACGCATCAAAAACTCAGGCAATTCTTATAGGTTCCAACTCCCTCCTTAGATCCATCTCCACCCTTCCTTCGTTGATTATTAATGACCAACCAATCTCCTTCTCCCCCTCTGTAAAAAACTTAGGAATTACCATTGATCAAAACCTATCATGGAAACCCCATATTGCTCAAATCTCCAGAAGGTCTATTGTTACTCTTAAATTATTTCGTCGTTCTCGTCAGCATCTTAATATCCAAGGAATTTATGATTCCTGACATGGACCGCTCCATTTTAGTATGATATTCTAATCATCTTCTCCAGCACTAAGTTGAACAATTTCCGACCATCTCCCTGCTGTAAACCTGTTTTAACTTTGAAGGCTTCAGATACTTCTTCTTGTATCAGAACTCAACATTTAGGATCATTGATACACACCTTTGTCAATCTCAATCTGGAACTCCCAGTTCAGTCATGATTGTCCATAGTTCCTGTCCACAGAACAGGATATCAAGAATAACAGAGCGTAAATATTTTGTATTATTAAAAATGATCAAGATATAAGAGATCTGTATAGAACAGTTGTTATTTGGGGCTTAGAGCCGTAAAACCCTAAGGTCATCAACAACTATTGTATAGAACAGTATTTGGGAGTTAGAGGAATTCTGTGATTATTAACAAGTTTCTAAAAGGCTTTTGGAGGGAAGTTCTAAATAGAATATTGTATTCCTATTTGGATTGTCTCATCTTTTTCTGCCCCTCATCATTTCTCAGAGATAATGTATAATAGATAACAAACTAGTCAATAATTTTGTACAATACATGTGGGCCCCTTCAAAGAATCTCAGTTGATAATATAGTCATATTTATTTTTATTATTATTCAATGTTTATACAATATTATAATTTTTCAAATTTTCAGGTCACGGATTCACATTTGGAAAGGTGAATATAAAGAATGTCCAGATCGTAGATTATTTTGGAGGTAGTAAATATCCTACAGTTCCAGAATACTACAACGTAACACTCACACCAAATCGCAAGAGTTTTCCAAAAATTACTTATAATGCCATACCAATGAACGATATATTAAGACCAAATTAGATATATAAGAAGCTGTTGGTTTAACTTTAAGTCATATTTTGTTGTTGTTTGTATATATATATAATGTAAAATAAATGTTGACTATTATGTTTAATTTTTTTTTATTATTAATTGTCTATCTTATAAAGAGAAAAATTAATCGGGTTGGGAAAGAAGTAGGTGCTTAAAAAGGAGAGATTTAAATGAGGAAACTGATTGTGCATGTCGGATATCGGGAGGGATGTTATTCCAGATAGAGACGGTTTGAATTATGAAGGATTTGTTAAACAGCAGTTCGGTGAGGAGGTGAATAAAGGTCGGAAGTACAGGATCTAGTGGGATGGGATTGAATGGAATATTTAAATTGTAGGCCATGAAAAATATAGGAAGGTCACTGAGTTCCGATAGCTTGGTAAAGAAAGGTAGCAAGGAAGTACAGACGGCGGTTGGATGGATAGTGACATTTCAACTTGGTGTAATACTGGGTTATATGCGTATCTCTTGAGATTCTAAAAACAAAACGTATTGCGCATGGTGTAAAATGTATTGATGGATGCCATTGAAATCTTCACTCCAAACACTCTACTTTATTATTTCATTTAGAGTGATCAAAATTAGCAGAAAGACAGCCTCAGCTAATTGAAAATATTAAAAGGTATTAAAATAGAGACTGATCCGTCCGCTTGTCCTACATACTAAATCAGGAGATTGATCTCTCTGGTTGTGGTTACCAGTTAGCGGTGGTTTGTGGTTAGCAGAAAGACAGCCTTGGCTAATTGAAGTTAGCTTAATCCGAAATACTTAGATATTAAAAGGTAAGGATATAAAGGAAATCGGTAGAATCATTAAACAGAACTTTAATTTCTCTTTTGTATTAATATTTTACATATGGTGTGAATAATCAAAAATAACAGTGTAATAGCCTACATTTATACAAAACTGTGTAAAAACATCTAATTTTTAAGATGTTTACCAATAGAAACCCTTGCTTAAAATATCTTTGTCAATGGAAAAAAGGCACTGATAATAAAAAAAAAAGGAAACAATACATGTATTTATAACAGAATATGTTAATACATATCCCGACACAATAATAATGGTAACATAACAATAATTCCATCGATATTAAACATTAGGGAATTAGGGAAGAGAGTGATATTCGTCAAGCACCAAGGTCTGAATGAATTAAGATTCTTTAAAACATTGAATTTTAAATTAATGATATAATCAATTCACAACTTTATTAATATTAATTAAAATCCCCATAATAAGCCCATATAATACACATATCTGTGTAAATTCAATATAAACACATTAAATACATATCATAAATAATAATATATTTATTAAAGTGAATTAAAAGAATCTATAATAGTAATTTTTAAAAATATTTTTTTTTAAGCGATTCAAATTCACTACAAGTATTCAATTTGATAAATAACAAAAAAATATAAAGTATAATTGTTTAAACTTTACATAGGCTAATAATATCTGAAGGGTTCAAAGGTACACAGCGAAACGTGGGGAGGGTATAACAACGTAGCTTTACAAGAATATAATTAAAATCCAAATAATAAAATGTAACAAAACATATCTTCCGTAATTAATATTTATTTAACAATTTTAAGGGTAAAATAAGATTCTTCTTACAAGAGATATTAAAAAAAAAAAAAATTAAAATTTGAGAAATAGCAAGACCCATTCTACAAGGTAACATCATTTCTCAGTTTTAGTTGACCTATAAATTCAGAAAAAAAAAAGGTATGAAAGAACTTAAATGGACCGATTTTTATTCAGCTTATAGAATACACAAGTGCTAACATAAACCATATTTAAATTGATGCACCATATTGAAACTTAATTAAAGTTATTCAATTCTTAACTGAGAAATGATAATACCTAATAAATGGGGCCCTGAGATATTTTATAATTATCATCTAAAATATATTAAATTTAAATGAACAATAAATATATATTTACCTTTTATAAATGAGTTAACTATTAAATCTTTGATTAAAATCATAACCATAGGCCTACAACTTAAATTGAATACAATAAGCTTACAACTACAACAAACTTCAAAGGCTTAAGTAAATAATAATAAGACAATATTTATTGCTCCATTCGCAAAAAACGCTAATCAATAAAAATATCACAAATAGTTTAATAGCAACCGAGATAAAAAAAATATTACTAAAAAAAAAAAAAATTGTAAAGCCATAATCATTTTATGACAATAAACAGTTAGGAAGAAAAGCACATGAACAATATGGTCTTTTTGGTGAAATAAAATTTAATAATTTGATACAAATAAATAATACATAGGAAAAAATATATAGCTATCGACAACTGGCAAACAATTTTTATGTTTATGTTAGTTAATACCAACCAATAAAAATAGAAAATACAGCAACGTAGTTCCTCATTTTTATATCTCTCAAATGTAAAACTAGACATGTTCACAACTTTAGCTAACTTTTGATGTAGTGAATAAAATAATTATAATTTTTTTTTTTTGTTTTGACAGAAATTCATAGCCCCTAAGATAAACACTACTAATTTCATCACCAACGAAATATAAAATTATATATATATAAATAGAGAAACAGCATCATATCAATATATTTCTGTTTTCTATATGTTTTTATTTTATTTAAAAAACAAACAAAATATGTCATATTTCTATGGATGGTCTAGCCTAAGTTCTGATTAAGATGATAAAATGTTTTCAACGGGTATCAGCTTCTTTTCAACTAGTTGCGACAATGGGACGCAGGCGGCTAAGGTCGACATTTAGGCCAGATATAATTAGGCTATGAATTTCTGAATCCTCTCTTAATATGATCAGTTTTGCTCAATTGTTCAGTTCTTGAGAATCTTCTCGAACACAAACCTAAAATGAAAATAAAACTATTGATGATTTTATAAAAATGTTTTGTATTTAAAATTAAAATTAGAGAAATATATAAAAAAAAAAAATTATGGTTACTAGAAATGTCAGTTTTCCGGACGATTTTAATTAAATATTAGCCAATATAATTATAAATATAAGTAATAAGTAAATCAAATGGCATTAATTTTAGTTAATCTTTTAGCAACGATGAGCAAAAAAGTAGGCCTTGAGGACGGTACAACCTGACAGTTCTCCGTGCCACTGAAACGGAATACTTTTCATCTCCTCAATTCACCACTTAAGCGTTTTATTTCAGGCATACTTCCAAATTTTATTTTATTTTTTTTTTTTTTCATCTAACTTTTATACAATTGATAGAAAGGCCGCAAGACAGTTTTAAAATAGAATTCATCACCGAGCATTTAGTCTTTTAAAGAGAAAGATCCCGACAGGCTCTCGACTCATATGTAAGTCCACCGTCACCTGGGTTCTATTCCATCTTGAAAGGTTAAGTGATAATAAAAACAAAATTAAAATTTTTCTATTTGAATGAATAATAACTATCAACATCTCATCAATCCAGGGTTACATTAATATTAATACTAGTGATACTACAATACTTGATGCTGATATAGGATTGAAAACAACATATTTTCAAGCGGTCCCTACACAATCAGTTGGAATAACAATCTGATCGATTGTGTAACATCAAGATTGACATATAGTAAAACTGTCATACATTCCACACTATGAATGGAAAATTCATTCAAGAAAAATGATCAATTTCTTTGATGGAATAATCATTAAATAAAGAGAAGTAAAATGGTAAGATAATTAATGGCTCTATAGATTCTAGGTTACATTGTTAGTCTCTGATAATTTCTTCAACATATTCCGTGATTCCACTATTTAAGATTAAAGTGAATATTTTATAACATATTGGAACTAGTGAAATTCCTCAATAGTTATTACAACCCTTCCTTTTGTCTTATTAAATCCGAAAATGCTCAGAGAATTTTTGATCCGTAGATCAGCAAGAACTCTTATATTAGATAACTATCCTTCATCCTAATGTATTCGACATACAAGTTTCGTTAATATCACTTGTATTGTGTTTCGTTGATATCACAAGTTTATATGTGTATACAATATAATGTTATCAAGATGGTCCTATTCAATATACACAATGAGTTACGATAAAGTGACAATTTACTTAATAAATGATTAGCTTGCCCCATTAGAAAATATTCCCCTGGCTTGAAAGTTAAGTAATAAGACAGAGCTATCACTGAACTTAAACTAAACTAATCCATTATTATACTCGCTCAAGACCTATTAGTTTGGTGTGAATGAGTCCTGATTTGTAGTTCTCTCATTTACTATTATGAATAGTCTATTACTGAGAGTGTAGAAGCCATTTCTGGGTATTTTTCTTTATTTGTCACAAATATCAAACAATTCTTTATATATGAGCCTTTCAGTAGAATCTATTCTTATTCCAATTCACAAAAAAGGATTCGAGGAAGGGTTGTAATAACTTTCGAGGAATTTCACTAGTTCCAATATGTTATAAAATATTCACTTTAATCTTAAATAGTCGAATCACGGAATATGTTGAAGAAATTATCAGAGACTACCAATGTAACCTAGAATCTATAAAGCCATTATCTTACCTATAGTTCTTTATAGATGCGAAACATGGTCACTTACATTAAGGAATGAGCAACTTCTTAAGGTTTTTGAAAATAAAGTATTGCATAGAATATTCAGAACGAAGAAGGATGAGTTAACTAGAGAGTTTAGAGTTTAGCATATATAAGGGTACTTAAACAAATAAAAATAAACACAATGAAATATAAATCAATATAGTGTTTATAATTTTTACTTTCACTTCCCCTTTGTCTGAAAATACTTATTTTTTTAATAAGGAGGTACTGTTTCTTGATCAATGGTGCTGCAAGGAAGTGATTTGACCAAGGTTACGCTCAACCTTCAGGGTTTTCCTCTTAACCAATTATTTAATTAAGAGTACAGACTTTATAGAGGTTGGGTATGCTCCATGTTCTCCTGAACCCAGGGTCAATCCAACTGATAAAACAGAACAAATAATTATCTACCATTAGCCGGATTCGAATTCAGGACCTTGAACTTTGGAAGTCAGTGCCCTACCCATTTTATTTTATTTACCAGATGGCTACTGCAAGATCTCTGGATATTTCT